GGAGTAGATAATTACAATTTAGGGTGAAAACTCTGGATATCGTTGACTAGTCGTTCACTGGAGCGAGTTCACGTAATTCGAAATATTCAAATTGAGCTTCGCTTTGTGGGTGACGTATCTAAGTGGTTAATATGTGCACGTTTCCTCGCGTTCGTAAACTGGTGAACGAGAGAATGAGAAATGCTGTTGGCCGTATGATCGAGCTTTCTCCCACTCGGACATATGTATAACAAATGCAAATTATGAATTCAATTCGGGTAGATGATATTTTTAATAAATGAATTCCAACAACTGCAATGCGCTTCATTATTATGTGCCAACATAATCGTAATGGAATAGAAATACTTTGTGTAAAATGTATATTTGATATTATTTAAGTTACAATTTTACGTTTACAAAAATAAATAGAGAGTTCGTTTTATTATCCTTGCATGACTTGAGATTCATCGATTATTTGAGCTTAGTATTCAACAAACTTTTAAGTATTTTAATTAAGGTCAATTAATAAATAAATGTAATTAAATCAGAGTTGTGAAAGTCGATTTTATGTATGTGCGTCGAGTTTATTGTCGAAGGTATATAGGTGGAGCCATTCGTTTAACATGGAAATTAAAAGAAAGTCGAGCACTATTATTTCGTTTCTCTATTACATTCTGTATTACGTTTCGATTATGTAGGATTCTGTCGGATTGCCAAACTTTAATCTAGATTAATCACCCTAATTGTGCTTACTTCGTTTATGAGATGCTACTTTCGTTTCTCAAACTTAAACAATTTCAGGATTATTTCATATTTTTTTTTTTTTTTTTTTTTTTTTTTTTTTTTTTAGTATAAATTGTTATCGCTGCATTGAATTATTTAGGTAATTATTTCGCCATATACTTCAATAGCAGTTCGTTAAGAAATTCAAATATATGTTTAATAGACGAGAGAGTCGAGTATTTTTCTTTATTTAATAATAATATTTATTAACATTTGCAAGCATATTTCATTTAGTTTATATTAAAAATTAATTAATTATTTCGTCAATGGATTAATAATTATTCAATTGAATTTATTTAATAAAATAAAATTGCAGTTAACTAAGCAAGCAAAATCCCAATGGCACAATTTCATTTAATATACAACGTACAGAGTTAAGTTGTAATAATGCAACTTGGACATTAGAATAAAGAAAAAAAGCATTTTTCTATATAAATATGTTTTAGAGACAATAAGCTGATTATTTGTGCGATATGGCTAAGCGGATTGCTGAGGTTCTGATTCAATGATCACCTCACAGTCACATATATATATATATATATAGTAGATTACGGTTCAAGTGATGACAATGTTTTTGGATTGACGCGAATGATTATCTTATCAGTAATAATCCCGGTTAGATATTCCAATTCTCTGATAAATGGATCGTTTTATAGATGTAAGCTAGAGGGAAACTAATGGGTCTTTCGTCACAATTTTGAAAATCTTTGTAAAATACAAATAGAAAAAAAAATGATGTAAATTAAACATAACAAGGCAAATAATATCTTTCATTAATCATTAATTATTAATAAATTTTTTTTTGGTTATTATTTTTTTTTTTTGTTTTTTTTTTTGTTATTAACCTCTTGTTGTCTTCCTTAGAAGTCAATTTTTCTCAGTTGAGTTTCCTGTAAAAATTTTTTTATATATGAAACTATAATATCAATTTATCATACCATTTTGAGGTCATGAATTTTCTATACATCATTTGTAATATTAAATTTCAGGAATGATGCATGTATACAGAACACCTGAAATACTTTGTTTACCTAAAAAATGTAAAATAAATTGCAATAACAAACACTAAAATTCACAATAAAACGGCCATTATTATCTTTAAGTATTGTTTGAAGAATTTAAAATTTAAATATATGTAGAGTTAGAAGAAAATGATCAAGATAAGATAGATAGATAGATATAGTAATTGAAAGAGAGTGAGAGTGAGAGTGAGAGTGAGAGTGAGAGTGAGAGTGAGAGTGAGAGAGAGAGAGAGAGAGAGAGAGAGAGAGAAAGAGAGAGAGAGAGAGAGAGAGTACGTAATTTGATTTAAGTGGAAGAAGATTGTTTTTGGACATAGAAAAGAAGAAAATGTGCTTTCAGTTAAGAGAGTGGAGAAAGGTTTCGTGGAAAAGACAAATGAAAAGGAAAAGTAGACCTTTCAGGGTGAGAGGGAGGGAGAGAGAGAGAGAGAGAGAGAGAGAGAGAGAGAGAGAGAGAGAGAAAGAGAAATCAGATTGAGAAAGAAAAATTAATGCGTAAGAAAAATTGAGTTGAGCAGATAAAACTATAGATACAAAAAATTTATATTTATAAAAGCAGAATGTTATTATTGATTTCAATAATTAGAAATATTTGTTTCGTACTACCAGTCATAATAATTTCATATATTTATATATTCTATTTTATATTCGATTATTCTTAGTTTAATATATTTTAAATATAAATTGAATTGACATAATTTGGCAGAATAAATTGTTACGGATTTATGTATTTATAATACAACGGGACATGTAGAATTAAAGTATAATTTTCTTTCAAGTCAAACTATCAGATATAATGTGACGAATTTATTTAATAGAGTGGAATAATAACTGTTTTTTCAACAATTTGAAAAAATAACTTGGTCGTAAGGTAAATTTTGAAAGAACTTTAATCGAAAATTGTCTTTCACGGATTTGCTCCTTCGCTCGTCACTCGCCCAACTAACCTACGCGTCATCAAGTGACATCGATAAATATTAGGATAGTGTCACTTCAACGTTAATGCTCTGCAATATTTAGAAGTCCGTGAACGGCACTTTCCTATATCAAATTTAGATGTCGGCCGAGGACCTTTGACATATTGTTACAAACTTGATTACTCGGATAGATTTTTAAAATATTTCTTATTATATTTTTTGTTGCTCAATTCTTAAGAATGAATTATAGAGGAATAATAGGGATTAAACTTTGCTTTATTTATTTAAATTTTAAATTGACAACGTCTGTCGCATTTCTCGAGCATGTTCATGTGGCTAAGAAATAATATTGGAGTTATCGGGTTGATACTATTTTTTATTAACACGTAAGCTATTTTTAACGAGCACTAAGAAATGAAAAATCACTCGTTTGTTGTGATTATGGAATATTATTTTACATTTTTTTTCTTTTTCTATGCAAACATAAACTTATATATATATTGTATAAATTTGTATGGATTATCTTTTTAATATATATATTTATATACTTGTATCCTTGATTATGCTATAATATCATATTTGGTAAATGGAATATTCAAAATATTGTATTTTTAATGTAAAGCGAAGTTGGTGACTGTTCCATTATATTATTTTACATCAAATAGCAATAAAATTATCTGTCGAACCAATTATTAAAAGCATAAGCATAATTTTGTATTTGGTTACAATAATCAATTATGAAATCTCATAAAATCAGATTATATATATGAATTTCGTAGATATTGCTTAAATGAAAATGCATTTTATGCTAAACGAAGTAGTATTGATAGACGTTTCAAGTGCAAACTAAAAGAATAGTATATTAATATATTACAAAATATATTGATCAAATTAATTTCTTGATTTATTAAATGGACTATCGGTTGTGATTTTATAAAGAGTGATTTAATTTTATTGATATTATAGATATTTAGATAAATAGTTATTATTCAATGCACTTTCCCAAACATATAGTTATTGTACCGAATATTTTATGTCTTTTATTACAATTTAATTTTCTTAACTTTTTGCTTAAGAGTTAATATAATTTATTTGAAGATATTGGAACAAATGGAATTTTATAACGTTATTATACGGCTACTGTCGATACTATTAATTTCTAATTTTTTAATGAAAGTAGGAAATACACATCAGCCATTAAAGAATTATTTTCATTCAATATTTGTAGTTTTATATAATTAGAAAAATTTTGTTTAGAGAAAGTATTATTAAATTTATTTTATTTGTGGAATCGTACACATAATTAATTTTTCTTTCGATAAGCTCTATCAAGCAATTTTGTTTATTGATCTATGGTACTGTTAAATAAACAAATTAAACTACATAAATTATATTTTAAAATAAAAAAATATTATTGTTTTCTTACACTTTGAGAATGTTAGAATGTATTATTGTGCCTACCAAGTGTAGAAATGTTATTTTCTTCCTATCTTTATATTAATTTACTCTATATGTTGTTTTTTTTTTTTTATAAAAAATTTTCTTTTGTGCATACAAAATGTCAAATTCATAATTTCCAAATTGTATTATAAATACGATAAGTTCACCCCATTACCAATTATTATCTTTTAATAAGTTGTCAATCCAAAGTAATGATAATTTCAATAATAATAAATCCTCATTCGTTCGATTTGAATTTTCATTATAATAAATTACTATTAAATTACGTAGCATTATAAAATATTTTAAATGTAAATAATCTTCAAATTTGAGAAAGAATTAGAGAAAAATTATTTGTGCTATTTATTAGAGATTATAAAATATAAATTTTTCATTTTTAATTATAACGCTTAATAGTCGATCGATGCACACAATTTTAATTTTACAATGTATTTTGTATTATACAATGTTATTTTTATTTTAAAAAAAGTACACTTATGATGCGCCTAATTATTATTTACAGGATATTCTACAACTGTTCCCTGGGATCACATGAGCCATGATAATTATGGAAACGACTGGTCAAAGATTGGAGATGGTGGAAGGAATCTACTACATACAGCGAATTTATATACTAATTATGGAAAAGCTTTATTAGAAAATTCTTTAAATCGTAGTAGAAAGAAATTTAAAAAAATCATTTGAAATTCAACGATGTGTTTAACGTTAAAAAATTATGTAAATTTTGTACAGAAAAATATAACAATCAATTCATTTCGTTTTAAAGAGTTTTTTTTTTATCTTTTTAAAAACAACACTATATATTATAAATATCGAATACGTAAATTAAACGAACGAATATTTTTGTTTACAAATCATAAATATAATTCAAAATCAATACGCGATGCGTTATAAAATTCGCCATATTGTCCTCTTTTGCGCACCCACGCACCATTCTTGAAATACCCTTCTTTAGCCCACTTTTGCATCTGTTCGGTACTATGTGGTCCATGAATTTCTGCTTTCTCCTCTTGTGACCACTTAAGCTCCCAACAAACTTCTCCATTTATTGGATTTTCGTCTGCTTTATCTTCGATTTTCTCTGATGTCGATTCTACACGAAAAATAATTAAATTACACGTATACTTGGTTGTTGTACTAATTTTTAGAATAGAAAATTTCTTTACAACTATTCGGGGGCAACGCGTGAAACGTGAATGTTACTTACCGTCTGATGTTTTCGTTTCGATTATTTTATCCTTTTCTTTGGAATCAAAATCATCCGCAAACATGTCCAACTCTGCTTCAATTTTTGATGGATGGGAATGCTTCGCCGAAAGTGCAATTTTTTTTCCAATTTGTTCATAACTTTCTTGATAAATATCCATATTTCCTGTACGAGTTAACAGTTCGTTTGCTAGTTCTGTTAATTTTGTAATATTTATAGAATTTTCATCTTCGACCACTGCATTTGGATCTTTTTTCCTTTTCCACCTTTCAGCTGTTGTCAATTTTTTTTTTCCTTTCCCTGAAGAGATAATATAAACATTGATACAATATTTCTTTAATATATATTAAAATAAAAGCTAACCGACTAGAGTAATTAATTATGAGTGCTTGTTTAGCGTCATACCTAGTCGACATAATGCTTTTGAGACAGTTTCGCCAGGCTTAAGATATTCCAAAATTTGTTTATACAATGGCGTTGAATCAAACATAAAATCACTTTCATCATCACTATCGTCGTCAGATTCTTTATCCTGAGTTGAATTATTACCTTTATTTTTAGGTTTAGCCCTTACCTATATCATTCACAGATATTAGTTGTTTTCATCATTTTATGTATTAATTTTAATACAATAATTTTAATTAACCTTGAGCCAATCAATATTGTCTAACCAGTTATCGCGTATTTCTTTTTCTTTCTTCCAATGGTAATGTCCTTCTTTATCAAAATGACCTTCTTCTAATTCTTCTTTCATATTGAATGCCGTAAATCCAACATTCGTCTCCGGTGCAGATGGTCCCTCTTCGACACCTATCGAACATATCATAATATAACAATAATCACATTGTAAAAATATCCTTGTAAATATAAAAGAATAATAATTCAAATGACTCATATCATTATATAGAAACTATGCTTCAATTTAATAAAATTTAATGTATGATAAATATATCACTCGTGTATACATTTGCATTTGTCATTATTTATATTTGATTATATTGATACTATTATATAAATTATTAAATGCACATGTAAAACTTGCCTTCGATATCATTTTCATGCATAATATCATAATTTTCTTCTTTTGCTTCGTCATCTTCTTCGTCAGAATCCAAAGAATTTTGGAAAGTAGATTTCCTGCCATCCAAAATTCCCAGAAACTCGTCTAATTTACGTTTAGACATTGGCTACAAATATATTGCTTGACATAAAACGTAAAATAGACAATATTCTTAATATTTTATTTAAGTTTTTCACACAAAAATAAAATAAGAATAATAACAAACTACCTTTTCTTTCGTAAATTATTTATGCTCAAATATTGATTTACAGCGGTTAAGGTTATGTTTGATGCCGTAAAAATAAAGCGCTAAAAAACATAAACAGATTACGGATTATGATAGAACTAAAAATTCTATTTACTTTATCAGTTGTCGATAATATATATGGCAGAGGACAAAATCAATATAATTTTGAAAAATCTTTTCTCGATGTCTCCAATATATCGGTTTAAAATCCTTACTTTACCTTATTTCAGGATAATTAATTAATAATTATTCATCATTTATTAATAATTTTATTATTATTATTTTTTGTCATTAATAATTGCAAGCAATCTTGATCGTAATCGAATTTTAGGAAAATTTTTTAATTATTATCTTATTATTTTTGTTAAGTTAATTTTGTTAAATATTTTTGTAAACGAAGCGTTATCAGTTATTAAAATATAAGACTTTATTGATTTACCATTTAGAAAGGAACGGTATAATTTTTTTTTTTTTTTTAATAATTATTTCAGCTGCTTTTACGTATTACAAATATATATATATATATATATATATATATATATATATAGTTGCTTCAATTTGTTATTTAAATATGTTATTTCCTTATAAATTTAACGATTCATAATTGTCTTTTATAAATGCTTTTAATGTATAAATTTTATTTTATATAATTGTATATATAACATAGAATAGATAACGTTTAATAAAGTAAAAACATTATAATAAAAATAATTATTATTTATTTTGACAAAAAGTGAATTAGGTCGATGATTTATTTAAAAATAATTTCTTTTATTATTATTTATGTTTTTGTGGCAATATTATTAATAGCTTCTATCTAATATCTTTGCGTCCAAAATTAATTATCTATACATATTATTAATTAAATTGTAATTATACTTATGTAATTAATGTGGATTTAACCCTTGAGTTATTATTATCATGAAAGTATTTATCATAGTGACTTTAAAAGTGAAATTTTATTAAAATACTTTTTAATAACACATCCTTTATTATATTTATTATTTTTACATTAGATATATATTTTAATAGAAAAATTAATAAAAAAAAAATCTATGATATTATTTATTAAAAATTCGCGAGCTAAATCGTACAATTTTGATTCGGATAATCTATTTTTATCGAAATAGTAACACATATATTTCTATATTTTAAGTTTATTAGATTAAAAGATATTTCATTGATTTGCGATCAATAATGGGATAAAAAAATACGTGTTTATACGTCCATTGTAATATGATATTTGTATGTAATAGCTCAGATAGATTTGCAATGGGATTTGTGGAAGTTTTGTAAGGTATTTTATAAATATTTCAATAAGCCAAGGTGTTGTGTCGCCAAATTTTGTTGCCTAAGGAACATACAAATTTCTAACTATTAGCTTAAATGTATATATATATATATATATATATTATAATTGAGATACGTGATTAAGCAATAATATTTAAGAATGTTAATAACTAGTGTAATGAAATGTCGAATTGTTGAAATAAATAAGGAGGCTTCCATTGTTTATTTTTAGTTTCAAATTGATTTTAACGAATGCGTAATATGCATATATATATATATATATGGTGTTATAAGAACGTATGTGATATACAAAATGTGATAAAATACAATATTATGAGGATATAATATTATGTTTTCAACCGTGGCGAAGAATAAATTAATTATAATTTAAGTTAAAAATATAATATTTAGTGTAAATATCACAGTATGTAGCTATGGGCGGAAAATATTTTCGGATATTTAAATCAGTGTTAAAGTGTATAATAGGACAACATACGATTTGTATTCAGGATTGGGGAAAAATCTCAGCAATATGTTAGCCATATGGCGATTATATTATATAAGCGTATTAAAGGTGCGGCAATATTAAAGAAATGACGATAAGAGAAAATTACTTGTTAGACTTACTTTTAGGGTAAGTTCGTTAAATTACGAAAAAATAAACATTACATCGTATATTAATTTCAACATATTTCGATACATAAATCATCTCTGATAGTTGTAAGAGGATTTTGTTAAAAAAAAAACAAAAAGTGTGTAATCCCGTAAATTATTTATGACTGATAATAGTCATTTGTTTGCAATTAAATATAAATTCAATTTTATTATGTTTTTGAGATAAAAATGTGAATTTCCCACTACTTTAGTTTAATACATAATAGATGGCTTCAATGAAAGTGAAAGTATTTTAATTTTTTTGATATACAATAATTATATGATTATACTAAATCCAAAAAAAACAAGCACTATATGATATTCATCGATGATTTTTATTTTATAGTATCTGTAGGTATATATTATCGTTATTTTATAGATGGTAGAAGCTAATGGAAAATTTTCAATTCACATTTGATATAAAATCTGTTTCCCATGTACGGTACGAATGGTACGAATGTAGAGTTTTTCGTATAAATATAAAAAATATCCTATGACCTGAACTTTATTGCTTTTATTTTGTCATCAAGTTCTGAGAGGATTTAAAATTATATAGAGGATCGATAATATTCGATGAAAGTGCCTCATCTCGGTTTAATTGACACTTTTTTTTATTAGTTTTTTCGTGAACGTTGAACATTTTTCTTCGTAAAAAATTATAATTTATTAAAATATCATACTTTATTATTATTATTATTATTATTATTATTATTATTATTATTATTAACTCTTTTAATTACAAAATAATGATGACAATATTGTTGTTAATATATTGGTTGACATAACAGTAATTTATATTTATATTATGGCAAGTGTATCATCATTAAATAATTTCTTTACGTTTTTTTTCTTTTTTTTTTTCTATAATTTTTTGTGATTTTTTTTCTGGTAAGTTTATTAAAAGAATGTTAAAAGAATATTAGTGAAATAAAAAATAAATTGTAAATTAAAGATTCGTAATATTTATGTATAAGTAAACACTTTCATCTTCTTTTTTTTAAATATATTTATTTAACCACTTGTAATATGATACGTAAATTATTAGATTATATTATTAAAAATTCCATTTAAATAAATTAGAATAAATATTTTAATTAATTAAAACCAGTGAAATTATTAATAAATTATTAAAATTATAGATATATCACAATATCCTTAATTCTTTATTATTCGTTCCGTATGCATAGATACATACAACAAACACATACGCTCGTGTACTCGTGAATCGAACACTTAATAACAGATTGACACTAATTGTTGTAATTTTAAGTACATACATAATGTTATTGTTAAAAGGTGAATATATTAATTTTAAATTTTAAATATAAATAAAAAATTTAAATCTTTGGTTAAATGAGTAGCTAAGCCCGAAACATTTTCTTACTCGAAAATGCTTTGTAATATTATTGAAACTCATATTTAGAAAAAGATTGTGATAAAAATTATGGAAATTCTACTATTTACTTATTTATAAACGGATTTATCATAAATTACATTAAACGCAATTAACATCGATGCTTCGTCACTTAAAAATTTAAGACTCTTTTACCGAGTCTAAATGATATTTGACACTATCTATCTGCTTCTAGGGTACAAGGATCTTTTTAACATATGCACCCAACGATGATGACGACGACGACTACGACGCCAATGACGATAATAATAATAATAATAATAATAATAATAATAATAATAATAATAATAATAATAATAATAATAATAATAATAATAATAATAATAATAATAAGTATATGGTTGTAGGCAGTGTATCAACTTGTCCGTAAATTAAAGGTGGCGTAGGTAAGGAAGTAAGGAAACGTCCCGTAAACGCCTAAATCGGAGAGCGCCTGCGCGCCCTTAAGTCCGTTAAAAAGGGAAAGAAAGAGCTCCGTAGACTCGGAAAATCTTGTCGAGAGCACTTGCAGCGTCTATACAAATGCACGAGCACCGCCTCTACAATTGCTCTCGATTATTACAGCAGAGCGAATGTACTAGAGGAGGCTGTCGAGGCTCGGCGACCAAACTATTTTAATTGCTTGTGGGGGAAATTAAAAAAAAATATTTCTATCTATTTCATTGCCAAGGGTTTTTATGGCGAGGAAAAAATTAAATCCAAATGCATAATGCACCTCCGGCAGATGAAATATCCACCTCTCTGAGCCAACACATGACTTAATGCGATAATCCATGCACAAGCTTGAAATAACATAACTACGCCGAATAACACTGCACGATTATCAAATAGTCAATTGAAATTTATATGCAAATATCTAAAATTGCTCAATAACGACACTTGTAATAAATACAAAATAAATAATGTAATAATGAGAAAGCCTAATGAATTTTATCCCAATGAACATTGAAATTGAAAGCATTCTCGTAGCGATAATTTTATTTACTTTGTTCAACATAATAAAAACAAATTGATTATAAGAAAATGAATAGTTATAATTTTATACATTCGTGTGTAGGCGAACGAATTCAGCCAAAAAATATCTACAATGACGAAGCCTTTGTTATTATTATTATTATTATTATTATTATTTTTTTTTAAATACTAAAAGAACGAGACCAACAATGATCTAACGTATCTGCCTGTATTTCGTCAAAACTCGCATAAGAATTTGAATGAATCATCGGTTAATTTCATATATTTCGCTATTACGTTTATCATATGACATTACACAAATATGCCTTGTTAATCCGCCTTATGAAAAAACATGTATTGTAAACATTTTTAGCATACTTCAGTCTAAAAAAAAAAAAAAAAAAAAAGCACGTTAAAGTAAATAATTATTTTTTGAATTTTTTACACCAAAGAATTGCATTGGTGCACCCACAAAGTGGAGGAGTGAAGGGGATGTGAATAAATTTTCGCTTCAATATAACGGAGAAAAATAAATAAATAAATAAATACAAAGCGAAATATACTTTTCCATTGTATATCCATTGCATGTGCCCATCAAATGTTTCTTTGATATCAACTCGATGTTTGATTAACAGAAAATTGCTAATATCATTCGAGAGTTAAATACTTAATTAATTAATTACTTTATCAACAATTTCTTTTTAATTATGGTATCTTGGCAATAATTTGAA